GTTGTGTCCTCTAGTACAATAATAAAAAAAATCTGCCGACACTTGTGCATGCAGTGCTCTCACCTTCTCGAGAGTCTCTTCACTGTTGTATCGGCTCTCCTGCATAAGTGAGACATCATTTATCGGCAGTGTTCCCAGAAACTTGAGAATTGCCCAATAAAACTTCCAACGAATGCACCCAGAGCCAGTTTTTTTGTTAAAGTTTCTGAAAGCAAAATAAGAATTACAGTGGACTCATTACAAGCTTACAAAGTCAAATTACAGAAGGTACACAAATCTGCAAATGCGACAAGTGGTTGAGGCATGGAAGAGAGCTCTGTGATTCCTAGCGAGACGCTCCGAAGTTGGAGTGCTCAATTTGTGATACCAAAACACACGCACGTCGCTGGCATGGTTATCTCTTGTGACACAAAGGCAATATCTTTGACGTGTTTTACGGGAGACAAGCTAAACACAGCTTTCAGAATTCACAGCATACAGAATACACAGCACTACAGCTGAATGCATATCGGCCACACCCTGCACGTGAATCAATAGAGACAGTATCTTTACTGTAATGCACACAATCGCTGAAACGTGGATGCGCGCTTTGGCAAATTCTGCCGTAAGGCAGGCATGCATGATCTCCGTCGTCTTTCTTAAAGTAAATATGCTGCATCGTTCGTAAGTATCGTAGCGAGCCGCCAGGAACCACGGAGAAGAAAACATTACAATGGTCGGTTAGCTTTTCGCGTCACACGAATGCCTATCTACCTTGAACATGAATTGCACTCACCTCTGCTTGTTGGCGATGCTTTTAATTTTACTTTTTGTTTCCTTACTTGTGTGGTTGATGCAGGCCGCACGGAGTTGTTGTACTATTGCTGCGTAAACCTTCGCGTAGCGTTTGACGCGTCTCAGCTCTCCTAAGTGGTCCTCCCATAACCTTATCAGAGTGATAGTTTCGGCTTCTGTCCAACAAACCCTTTCTTTCGACGCAGGCTGATTGCCGCTATCCACCTCCGTAATGACATGGGAGAAACGGGTTCTGCGAGTCAGCTGTGAGCTACCTGACAGCTCCGAGGCTAGCGTAAACACTGAGCAAATGAGTGACATGGCCAACGACGGTTTTGAGAGTGTCGCTGTGAACGAAAATATTCAAATCTTTTTCTAGCGTCTGAGTTGAATCGCATGTAAATTGTGGTTGACTTGTATGTTGAATTGTATGCAAAACAATGCCTAAAATAAGACCATATCTATACATTTTTTTACTTATAACCCTTTAATACTAAAATAACTTAAACATTACTTAAAAATGAGACCATATCAATGCTTGATATGATTTATAACCCTGTCATATATAAGCTGTTCACGGCGCTCTTTCGGCGAGAGTACATCTTCGCGATAATACGTCATTTGAATGAGTTCAGCTAGCTTATTCGTTTTCTAAAGTGTTCTGCTTTTATTGATAATAGACGTCCCGTGTGATAGCCAAGTAATGTGTTTAGAAAAAAATTACGGCATATTCACGGGGTGAATGATGATGAATGGGCGAAGCTCCGGAGGGATTCATCGGTAAACTGTGAATCTTCCGTGTAATTCGCCCAGTCGATCATCATGTAGAGACGTGAGAAACGCTGTGTGTGTATATACACAAATCAACTTTTATTTGTTCTTAGACGATGGATGGCTTGCGATGTCCCTTGCCTCGCACGCTCGCACATCGGGATTCTGTCTGCGAGCGCGCGCTGCTGCCGCCTTGCGCTCTCCGCTGTGCAGCCTTATCCATCCGGCGACTCCGAGCGCGCGCCAACAGCGAACGGATTTTATTACAACGCTCCCCCTAGCGTACGTCGCCGCACTAAATCAAACGATTGCCTTCAACCAATGACACGCGCCATATGTGACATCATTCCTATTTTATAAGATCTCGCGTCTTTCATCAACTACAAGTACCGCTTTCTAGTTTATAACATCTTGCATCTTTTCATCATCAGCTACAAGTACCACCATCTAGTAAACACTACAAGAACTAAACGAGAGGTGGCTACATACAGGAGACGGTACCGCCATCTAGTGAACACTGCAAGAACTAAACTAGAGGTGGCTACATACAGGGGACGGTACCGCTATCTAGTGAACACTGCAAGAACTAAACTAGAGGTGGCTACATACAGGCTACAAGGGACGCACAGCCCACGCCCTAAGGAGCTTCGCCCCTAAAACGTTTAACGATTTCGAGTACTTCGTACTCTACTATGAGAGAGCACTGAACCATCCCGCTAAAAGCCTCAATGTGAATAGGTGTAAGCGTCATTGCGTGCAAATGACATTAAACCTTCTTGTGTGTCATAGATCACCTTCTTAGTTGCTAGAAAACATCACAGTTCACTACAACTGTCAGTCGTCCTTCCAAACCAGCCTCCATGAAAAGAAGAGTCATTGAGGGGTTTGTGCGTGGCGCCTAACTATGAATGTATGAAAAATGTATTTTGAGGCGGTTCATCATCCATTTGATTATTCGCGGACAATTGCTTTCTACATCCCACATTACCGAGCACTGAACATCGCAAAATTGTTTAAAACAGCTGGTCCACAGTTGAGAACTGGTGTTCAGTGTGTATGGTGTGAAGTAACGTTACCACACGCGAAATCATTCACGTATTCTGAAAGCAGCCTTACCCGCAATACACCTACTCTTTAATGTCAACCAACATAGAATGTGTTCACAAACACTTATGCCTTTGTGCCTTTATGCCTTTATGCCTTTTGACACTCTCCAGTTGTCATATCGGATAAAAATAAGGAGCTGCACTCCTAAAGAGTTGGCGCCTGCGTCATAGAAGGCTGGCTACATTAAAAGAACGGTATTCTTATGCCGCACCACACCCACACAGTCCACCTAACAACCAATGTAACCGCCGTTTCTAGCAAACTTGAATAAGCGTCGTCTATTCAGGACCCATCAGCAAGCTTGCCTAATTAATCTGCTGGAAATAGTTCAAAATCTAGCTGCCAGTTTCACTACGTCTTTGTCAAATCAATCGTGAAACATAACTCTATATATTGTTACATCAAACTTGCAGCATCTATCTGACAGACACAAACTTTTTCGACTCAACTTGTTTTATATAACGTACTAATGCTTTCAGAACCCAAATGAATCTCTACTACTTCTACCCACCCGCTATTCTCGTCGCCTATTTATTTCCAAAAGCCATCGACAACCATTTAGGGGCGAAGATCCTTATAGTCGAAGCTTCTCCGTTAGCTTTAGCGTTTTGTGCCGTAGCACCCGATGACGATGACAATGATGCTGATGACAATGAAGAAGAAGTGAGTGATTTCTTCTAAGCATGTTATAATTGATAATATTTAAATGTACTATATGATTCTCTATAACTAATTACTCTTTTCTTGGCCAATCCTCAAAAGTTGGTGTGAGTCACACATTTAAGCCATCATCATCTTCGAGACCACAAGTTCTCTTCCTGCCCTTACGGCTCAGCACGTGTTGGGTGCCCAATATACACATGACAGTGACGCTGATCATGACGAAATTAGTAAAATTGATGATTACGAGCAATGAGCAGCTTGTGCAGTATATAACGTCTCAATATCCTTTACGATGCATTTTGTGTGACGGCACACAGCCATCAACCACAAGGAGAACGGGCGAAGACTTCGTTTCAATACCACAAAACAGTAATAATGAAGGTAAAATCAGGTTCTCAAACTAAACAAACTATACAATTTACGGCCAATGAATACTGTACATAACGGTACAGCGCATTTTCGCTCATTTACATGCGTGAGGGGTCAATGCCACGTGTAATTTACGGTAACGCCGAGTAATACCACTGCTTCGCCCAACCATCATCATTCACTTCGAGGATAGGATGTGACGTTCCTACGTTTTTGGTATTGTAGAACGTGTTCTTGGGCTAGTTAATTTACGTCGAAGGTAGTTGCAAAAGACGTTCTATCATTTCCTCCTCTTTTTTTCGTCCATGTGGGTAGCGCTTTTATACTTTGTGCAACTTTTTTTAATACCACTGCATTTAACAAACCATTTCTTCCGATCATCATCGAAAACGGGACAACTTAACGACAGCCACCTGCACACAGCATCACACATGCATGATAAAAGAACATCCAAAAGCTCATTTACAAATGAATACTCTTCAACACTACATTTACGTAGCTGCATTTTTGGCTCCCTGTTGTAAGTAAAATGTTTCCTCACAAAGTTTCAATTGCCTCAAAAAATGTTAACATATTTTTACTACTTAGTTTATTTTTCTTGTATCTACTAATAATGTTTGACCGTCTGTTCTTCTCTCTATTATGTTATGTCCTTTTTGAGTACTGAAGGGTTGCACGAATGATCATAATAACTGTAAGCATCTGTCATGAGCTTTAGTGCACAAAATTGTTCGCTTTCACAACATAGAATGGCCACCAATACAACTAAATGCAGCAACCTAAAGCAAAATGACGCAGTTACCACGATTATATTTTAAGCACACAGGCACCATTATACTGCAAAATGCAGCAGGTGTACGTTAGCTTCAAGACACCAAATGTCATAGCAGTCAGCCTTGTCGACGCAGCATTTTGTGCATATTTTTACTTCTTACTTTTGTTTCTTTTGTGTATATAGTAATATTGTTTGACTGCCTGTTTTTCTCCATGTCACTCCCCTATTGGGTAATAAAAGGTTATATGAATGATCATAACAATGTGAGCGCCTGTCATGAGCTTTACTATACATAATTCCTCGCTTTCACGACTGAGAATCGCCACCAATATAGCGAAACACAGCAACCTTAAAGCAAAATGATGATGTCGTTACCCTGATTATACTTCAAGCACACAAGCACCATTATAATAAAAAAACACCAGGTGTGCACGGCTTGAAGACCCCAAATGTTACGGCCGTCAACCTTGTCGACGCTGCACTTAATCGGCGCAAAACGCAATGCCTTACTGCAAGTTTTCCTATGGGATGACCTTCCTCTTGTAACAGTGAGCGAAGAGAAGTCACAATGTATGGTAGAATTTTAACTATTGCTCTGTGATAAAGGGCTAGTTCACTAAAACCAAAAGTATCCACTTACGTGTTCCCTTCTGTTTCATATATAAAAAGGGGCGTTTGTGCATCTTCCAGCGCTCCTTCCAAGACCCAAATGTGCTCGATATACAAAACAAAGAAGACAATGATTATACTTGTTGTCACTTTCAGCTTCATGTTGTGCTGCAACGCAGGTGAGTTATCACATGTGCATTTTAGTTTCTGTATATCCACCTTTCAACTAGAACCATGCACAGCTTACACTCACACTAATGAAGCATTACTATGAATTTGGTTGATGCCTCTTAGTAATGCATATCAACTGAAGAAAAAAAATCACGTCATATCCACGGAGTGACTGATGATGAATGGGCGAAGCTCCGGAGGAGAATGAAGACGGAAGGAGGAAGGACAGGGAGGTTAGCCAGTGAAGCTCCGGAGAGAATTATCTGTAAACCTTGAATCTTCCGTACAATTCGCCAAATCGATCATCATTTAAAGACGTGAGAAACTATGTGTGTGTACACCATGCCGCTTGGTCCTCCCGCTCTCGTACGGTGAGATCTTGGTGGCTGCGTCACGCAGCTTCATGGTGTGCTTCTGCCTCGCGGGCTCGCACATCCGGATTCTGTCTGCGAGCGCGTGCTGCCGCCGCCTTGCGCGCTCACTGCTCGGCAGCCTTGTCCATCCAGCGACCCTGAGCGCACTCGAACAGCGAACAAATTTGAGGGAACCTTCATGTGCGTGCATCTCAGTGTTCTGGGGTGGTGCCAACTTCGATCATGGTTGCTAACAATTGCCTAAAACGGCCGCCGTACTTTACGGGCACCCACGTTTATTCTCGGCAGTCGCTCATTTACATGGAAGGCGGCATGGGTTTTAATGAGAAGGGGGTGGTTTTTTTTATATATCAACTCTGAAAGCTGAAGGTTTGTTTTCTGAAGTTAGTCACTGTTTTGTAGAACATAGAAACGTGTTCATTGACTCGGCTTTGTATGAAATACCGTTAAAACTGTTTGTTTCTCTCAGCTGGCCGACCCCCAACATTGGTGGCGTGAGGATATTTTGGAAGCCTATATTTTTGAGGGGGAGAACCTCAATGTGCCGGTGAACAGATTTCAATGTCTGCACAGCATTCTTGAATCAAATTCATCATATCACTGCAGACACCTCAAAAGCCTTTTAGTGGAAAACTTGAGACTTTGCTGTAATATATGACGGTATTCATAACGACAAGGAAGGCAGATCAAACAACCAGGTATCTCGCAATGTTCTCTGTACACCGCACAACTTGCTAGCCTGTTTCTCGTACCTTGAATATTGCTTTGTCGATAATATAATTTTTTGCGGCAAGTTTATTTCCTTTGAACAAATCAGTACAATTCACTGCTTAAAAAGCTTTAAAGCTGTACACAGTGAAGAAATCGTAGATCACTCAATGATACTACGCCCCCCCCCCCTAAAGCCTGTATATTAGGCTAGAAGAAAAGCAAAGGGGAGCCCAAATGGACAAACCAAGCTATCGCAGGCCAGATTTTATTGGAAAAGCATTCAAACAGCATCTGGCCTAAATCTATTCAAGCCGTCCGGCCTTGTTTGCTGGAAGCTCGTGTCTTCACGGTTGGCCTACAATGAAACAATAAGGCGATAAGTCATACACAGCGCCGACCACATAAATGTAGTCTATACCCACTTCCTTTACAAGCACTGAATAAAAACTGAGTTCATGATATCATATCATCTTTGCAGCTGGTTATCAATCCATTAGTTTTGAACTCGTTGATTGATACAAAAGGCCGACAATATTAACGATGAAGCACCAATCTCCCATTGAGCACATTTGAGTTATGGGCCAGCAACCGACTTTTTAGTGCACATGCACTACACTGTTCAGGACCAACAGACAGACAGAAGAACGGATGAACACGAACAGGCAATATGTCGCATCCTATATTAATAAAGAGAAAGCTTTTTGCCATTGTTGAGTGAGTTTCGGTGTTTTTTCGCGTGTCATTGAAGGGAAGGACGATCACCTAATGGCAAGCCACACAAAATTTAGCTGTCTTGCAACTGTTCCAGACTACAAGAGTTAACAGAGAACGAATTCGTTGTCTCGACCACCTACTTCTCCAAATTTCCTTCTTGAGGGACCGAGGTGAAAGTGCAGGAACGCGAACATCGGCCAGCCAAGGAAGACGTGAATGCGAGCGTCTGTTGGTAGTTTACGGGCCTGGCGTTTCCCGCAACGACTGAGGCGACGGATTCAGAAACCGAAGAAACGTATATAATGAATACATGCAGGAGCACATGTTCGACACGTCACATCATTCGATTGGTGAACTGGGATTCGACTGCGAGGATAAACAAGCATACACTCAAGTTAATCAGCTTTCGCTTGCTTAACCCAGCGTATCTGAACAAAGCCTAGTTCATTTTTTTCGCTGTGCAAGTTGTCGTGTTTACTTTGCCCAAACTGCTTTTCATCGCATGACTAGGTCTATAATTTCGCAAAATATGTGGCGATACACTCAATCCAGTTGCTATACAACAGCGTTCCGCGACTGTCTTGTCATCCCTTCTGTTGTGTATAATATTGTTTATGGCGCCCTATCTTGAAGTTTGTACCACGTGCGAAGCCGGTTATAAAAAAAACAACCGGGTATTTAACTCATGAACACGGGAGAAGTAGTCGGCTCCAAGCAATTTCGCTTCACTTGTGTAATCCAGCGTTTCGGCCGACTAGAGCAAGTGGGGAAGCGGAACAGCCTCCAGATGGTTTCGCATTGCGCCATGCAGCACCCTGACATTTTCACTTTAAAGATTTTGTCGGTGCGCTTAGCACGAGGATGATTTCGTAGCGGAAGCTAAGTCTACGATGTAGTCAAATGCAGCTCATACCGCAGCTTGCACAGCCGCGGCAACATGTAGGGGGTGCAGTGCGGTGGAGTGGGAACGCCTGGCCGCGAGAACCAACATGGCGCTTGTTGCCATGAAAACAGAGACAGTCAACATTGAGTGTTAATTGGCGTGGCCAGTAGGGGGTCAAAGTCAGACACCAGCCTGAAACACGGAGACACGCGCACATGAACGCTCGCTAACGAATTTCATTACAACGCTCCCCCTAGAGGACGTCGCCGAACGATTGCCCTCCACCAATTACGTGCCATATGTAACATTCCTATTATAACATCTCACATCTTTCATCATAAACTACAAGTACCACCATCTAGTTTTACAAATATCAATTACACGCATGATCAACTACAAGTATCGCCATCTATTTTTAAATTTATAAACTACAAGCATCATCAACTACAAAAACCGTCACCTATTTTCACATTTCATCAACTATAAGTACCGTCACCTAGTGAACACTGAAAGAACTAAACCAGAGGTGGCTACTTACTACTACTACTACTGCTACATACATAAGAGGTTGTACAGACCCACACTTTAAGCAGCTTCACCCTAAAATATTTTAACGTAATTGTGAGGGAAAGGTACACAAAGGTAGAGCCGATAAAAAATTTGCACCAATGCGTTTTATGATGGGGTCGTTAGGAACATCAATGATGTATAACCATGACGAAATGACGTGGTGAAATGTAGATAAGCAGAAAAAAAAGTAGAACAGATGCAGCATTTGTTGCGTATACGGATACAACCAATGAGCGAATATCTTTAGAAATGAAACGCAAACGACTGTGTAGGTTTCGGAACGTTTTAATAAGTACATTTTATTCGAAGAGTTCTGCTTTTTGCTTTGTCTTGAAGAAGATGGCCATGTGCTTGCGCAGGGTATCTCGAAGGACTTGATTATACTGACCTGCCACAAAATTCGACTTGAGGTTCAAAGCTGTTTGATGTCGTACACGTCAACAGTGTTTCACAGATTACGCGGCAAGTTTTACATCTTTGGAACATCTACCAGCACGTTCACGCACTTTGACACCGCGGCCGGACAAAAAATGTACATAATGGGAATTCGAAGTAACAATTGTTTTTTTACGAGATTCACGCCTGACCAGTGATGTCGTATTGACGGGTAGCGGATGCCGTTCATCACGCGAAACAATTACATGTTGTCCCGCACAGCGAGGCGTTGTACACACTAAACAATTCAAACTCTGTGTGCTCGTTCACGCTGGGAATGCTTTTTTTAGCACTCAGTCTTCTAGTACACGTTTTGCATCTTTCTGAATGCTACTGATGCGATACACATTGTTCTTCCACCAAAGGCTATAGCGAAAGCAGCAACTATATCTGAAAGTGCACTTGGTAACTTCCGTCTGAACAACTGTCGGCACCAATATTGAGGCGGGGTGGCCCACTTCGTCGTTTTGCAGCCGCTTCACGTACACGGTCCACTTTCATGTCTCTGACAACGGTCTTTTTTGCAGAAAGCGCAGCATGCCGCATCCTGCGTTAGAATGCCCCTCTTTGCGGCAGGCCTTTCGCTCACAATTCTAGCAAACATTCTCATAAAAACTGATAGGCTATCAGTTTACTGCCAGTTGTATCAGTCTACTTGTGTATCAGTCTATGAGTGTATTTGCGTATGAATGTATCAGTCTAATAGTCTATAGGTGTATCAGTCTATGAGTGTATTTGCGTATGAATGTATCAGTCTATAAGTGTATCAGTCTATGAGTGTATCAGCCTATCAGGGTACCAGTATGGGTGTACCAGCCTATAAGTGTAGCATTCTACTCAGTATAGGCCCACAAGCGAATCGGTGCTTAGCCCACTGGCAGGTGCACCACTACATCAGAGCAAGCAGGACACAATTATGAACTCAAAAATCAAACAAAATATTTTATTTGATGTGCCATTCTTTTCTTAATCTTTTAGTTTTATCAAGTGATTATTTTGTCGGCTAATGCTTTACTGAGGAGCTTCTTGTTTTTCTCGACCTCACCAATCAAATCGGTGTGCTTCAAAAAAATGGTTAGAAAAATCTGCATGATCATAAACAAAGTAAATTATGGACACTTGTTAAGTGACAATTATGTGTACTCCAAAAAGAGTGGTTAATATGACAATGTAATAAATAGGAGTGATCCCAGTCTATCCCTTTTATTTTTAAAAATTATTTTGTGATTTCTTGCTTAAAAGTACCCAGCTCCAGCAGGCGAAAACTAGACTTGAAGCTTTATTAAGTAAATATAGCACAAGTTGGCAGTGTAACTTCAAC